TTATTTCTAACCATTTCTTTATTTGCATGCTAACTGAGAGAATTTTTATACTGCTTCTAAGATAAGTATAATAGCAGCTTTTTAATTTACTGAAAAAACAACTTTACATTGACATAGGTTTAAACATATATGACATATGGCAACTTTTCTGCTAACCTACGTTTGATTTTTTTGCCTAATTGTAATTTTACATGTTATAACTCTCTTCCAATTCAATATAATAGATATTTTTTAATAATTTTGTAATTTATACGTATATCTAATTAAAATTAAATAAATGTATAAATATTGTTACTTTAATTTTGACAAAAGCTTTATTCAGAGTACCTAAAACAGTTATTTAATTTCTCAAAAGTGTGAGTAAAGGAAGCAGGTCTTTTTATGCCAATCGCTTTGATGTTTTATACTATTATATTTTATATAGAATGCTAATCTAGCACAAATCTAATTAATAATTAGTTACAAAGGATATAAATAAGAATACCTTTAACAAGTACTTAACAAAATTAGTTTGTTAAATACATGTTATTCTTGTTGGTACTGTTTTTGGTACTATTCATATAATACTGAAGATATTATCGATTAACTCATAGAAGTCCAGATGCTTTCTGATTTCCTGTGGGGTAGAGTATACCTTTTGCGGTACTTTTTGAAAATAATGTTTCTCTGGAGCGACTTTTTTCTCTCGTTTCCCTTGACCATTAAATAATTTGGTTTTAGTTTGTGACACAATTTGATTTCTTCTCAATCTCTATTTAAAACCTCTTTAATAATATCAAAATTTAAAACAGTTACATCTTCTAAAACAAATCCTCTATCTAAAACGCGGTTTCTCAGTAATTTGAGGCAGAGCGCGAAATGAGACCTCTGATTAAAACAAACTGCGCATTTTGAAAGTAACCAACTTAGTCCAGTTTAGAGTCATAGCAGAGTTTTCAATCTATATGCATTTCGTCGAAACTGAGAACGCATATTTTTTCTACAGAATACAAATACTCGCCTCTTTCCTTCTTTAGAGTAAGAACATTACTTTGAATTCTTGGACTACACTAAAATTTAGAAAACACTAAAAAATAAAATAATTTCTTTAATTTGATAATACTAGGTAAAGATATTCCAATTTTATTCTTAATTTTTTTCCTTTCCAAAAATCATAGCTTTAAGATGACAGAGCTCTTATGACGATGCAACTTGAAATATTTTCACTAGTCCACCTAATTTTTTTCTTCTTTTACAGTAATGCATTAATCTGCGTCTTTATAAAAATAGGCTTTAGACATTTTCCCAAATTCTCCGATTTGTGCTCCCCCCCCCAAATTTCGCTATCTGAGATTTTAATTTCTGATACCAATTTCTGTCTAGATGTCGTCCACCTTCTTTGTCGCTGAACAAACATTCTAAAATTTTTCTTTTCTATATTTTTCAATACTTTAATGCAATTTAATACAATTTTCTAAGGATATTATTTTGTTCTTCAAATTATCAATGCATTCTTGTTTATCCTTAAACATTCAAAATGATCTACATTTTCATTTGTGAGTTTTATTTCAAAATCATTAAAATTTTATTTATTATTGTCATCATAATTTACTTTTGGCACAGCATTCCATTTCAGCAGTTTCTTTTTGTGGCTATCCAAACAAGCAATTTTTCATATCATCTTCATAAACACTGCATAGAAAATGATCGCTGCAGATTTTTCCGCTCTTCACATTAATAGAATCTTCTCTTTGACATTTGTGTATCCATTCTTTCGTCAAAAGCAAACTCTCATTTGGATCCTTTGGTCCCATGAAATAAAATATATCATCCTTTCATACTTCTGTAAGCGCTACGGCACGTTACTGCAGCGCAAAAAGCCATATTACGTAAACGATACTTTACAATATAGAATTAAAAAAAAAAAACTGACTAAAATTACATATAAATAAATTATTTTAAATATATACATTATTAGAAAACAGATATATATATATATTATTAAAATTAATTTGGGATATGTAACCTCTAGAACATCGTCTCGCAGCTCAATGAAACTACTGTTTTAACGCGGGAAATCAGGACAGGTGGCATCACAGTGACGTCAGATTATTGCCTGTTACGTCCCCCATTGGGCTCGCGTCGGCGAGGAGTCGAACAAAGAAATGAGCTAACCCTTCTATTTATCCCAAGGAGGTTAGAATAGAAGGAGGGAGGGTTCGCAGTTTCCTCCACTATAGGGAAATGAAACTCCGCCGAACAAGCGGCGTCCATGTTTGTGACTTCAAAACATTGCATTACGGCAGTGACATGTACGTGTTTCTAAGCTGTTCCGTGCATTTATTTTCCAGTAAAATTATGTTAAATTTATAATGAAATCCCGCGCTATTGTTGAACTTTTGTTTTAAAGTAATAAAGATGATATCCATAATTTACTATGTACAGCAAATTGTTAGGAAATAGTTCGAAATCTAAATGCATGCGCATAACATTAAAGCCTTTAAAAAATGATGTTTCTGCATATTTCACGGATTCGCTTAGAAAATAAATCTTAATAAAACAGAATTCATTGATTTCAGTTTATGCGCATTTCATATTTATTAATCTCAAAGAAGCTGCCTTTAATTAAGTTGAATTACAGAAATACACCTATATAAGTTTTTGGATACATCTTTCCACATGTTCAATTGTGTAAATATTTTACTTAATTTTATCACTATACTGCTCAAAAAATTTTGTAAATATTTTACTTAATTTTATCACTATACTGCTCAAAAATTACAAAAAATTTTTAACAACAGAACAGTTTATCTTAACTTTAAAAAATGAATAATAATTAATATATAAAGAAAAGCATTGCTTTATTTAACACCTTTACAATTAATAAAAATAGTAACAATTGATTTCTTACTTTTCATGAAAAGTTATAAAACGAAGTAACTAAAACGTTCAAATTATACATTTAAATCCTACCATATAGCATTGTATCTTAAGGAACGAAGATACCAGCTATAAACAGAAACATTGAAATGTATTTAACATATTTTGATTATAGTTATATTAAATAACCTATTTTGATTATTTAAGTCCCTTTTTTTTCACATCTGGAAAGAAAACCAACATGAAATTGTGATATTTTTTGACATAGTTGTCATATTACATAAAAAAAAAGAAAATTAAATACTTACGTGTGAAAAATAACGCCCAGGAATTTTTTTCGAGAATCTATTTATGCATCCATGTGCAATACAAGCTGACATGCTTCAAAAAGAAAAGAAAAAATGTTGCAATGACAGACTTCCTTGCACAAGTCACGGTGATAACAGGAAGATGGCCGCGAAGCTTCACCGTTTGAGTTGAACCTTCCCTCCTTCTATTCTAACCTCCTTGGTTAGAATAGAAGGAGGGAGGGTTCGCAGTTTCCTCCACTATCGGGAAACGAAACTCCACGGAACAAGCGGCGTCCATGTTTGTTACTTCAAAACATTGCAATACGGTAGTGAAACGTACGTGTTTGTAAGCTGTTCTATGCATGAATTTTCCAGTAAAAATATGTTAAATTTATAATGAAATGCTTCGCTATTGTTAGTTTTTTGTTTTAAAGTTATAAAGATGATATCTGTAATTTACTAAGTACAGAAAATCATTAAGAAATATTTCGAAATCTAAATGCATGTGCATAACATTAAAGCCTTTACAAATTATGTTTCTGCATAATTTCTAGAATTTGTTTAGGTTTTATTAGCAACTTCTCTGATATACTTTCCAATTGTTTCTTTAAGAAGTGATATTTCTGATTTATTCGCAATATTATTATAATTTATTAAAGAATCATTTTTACCTGAAAATTAATAGCAGATAATTATCTAAAAAAATGGTAACATGTTGCTTTTTTTTAAAATGAAAGTTTTAGATAGATTCTTTTCACAATCAAACAACCTTATATCAACAAGAAATAAATATTAATAAAAATAAAACAGATTTATGTGAATTCAATGATTCAGTTTTGCGCGTTTCATATTTATGAATCTCAAAGAAATTACCTTGAATTAAGCTGAATTACAGAAATATACCTATATAAATTTTTGGATATATCTTTTCACATGTTCAGTTGTGTAAATATTTACTTACGTTTATCGCTATACTGCCCAGAAATTTGTAAGCTTATGCAAAAGCATTTTAACAACAGAACAGTTTATCTTGATCAAATACACAAATTATATTCGTAACAGTTCACAAAACTTAAGAATGAATAATAATTAATACATAAAGAAAAGCGTTGCTTTATTTAACACCTTTACAATTCATAAAAATAATAACAATTGATTTCTTACTTTTCGTGAAAATTATAAAACGAATTATCTAAGCGTTCAAATTATAGAGCAAGCATATAATCCTAGCATATATCATTGTATGTTAAAGAACGAAGATACCAGCTGTAAGCAAAAGCATTAAAATGTATTGTATTTAACATGTTTCGATTATTATTAAGTCTTTTTTGTCACATCTGGAAAGAAAACAACATGACATTGTGACATTTTTTTAACATATTTATGAAATTACATAAAAAAAAAAGAAAATACTTACGAGTGAATAGTAATCCCAGGATTATTTTTCGAAAATCTATCTGTGCATCCATATTCAATATAAGCAGACATGCTTCAAAAAGAAAAGGAAAAAAAAAAATGTTACAATTACAGACTTCCTTGCACAAGTCACAGTGATAACAGTAACATGGCCGCCAAGCTTCACCGTTTGAGTTGAACCTTCCCTCCTTCTATTCTAACCTCCTTGATTTATCCCTGGCCGCCGCTAGTGCGGACCTCACTCTCTTTTTTCCGCCTCCCACACTTCCTTCCCCCCCTACTCTTTCTCCTCCTACCCGATCCTTACCATCGGGTAAAAAGGTGTTTCGAGAATAAAATACCATCTGTGTGTGTGTGAAGGATCCTATCCTTGATTAAAACACCTATCCTTGAATTTTGCGCTACGGGCAGAAAGACTTATTTTGAGCAAAATAAGCCATCTGTGTGTTTAATCTGCTTTTCTTTGTGATCGGTTGTGATTCGTGTGTTGTGAACGCTATCGAATAAAAATGTCAGTTTTCTGTTCTGTGTTGATTGATTGTGTAGACATTTAATTGAATTATAGAAGGTATTTCATTCAAAGCCTTGTATACAGCTATGGGAAGCAAGAAACATAAAAAACATCATAAATCTGAGAAGAAGGATATATCTTTCGAAGGTAAAGTGTTTTAAGTATATTATTTTAATCCTAAACATGATTAATATTTAAGAGAATTGAACCGGAGTACTGAACATGACAGTTCAAATGATATATTTTTTAAATGTTATGATATATGTATTTTAATTTGATGTTACAGCGTTTGTATACTATGGTATTTATGAGTATTCATGTTCTCATTAACTGTGATTAGTTATGAACAAAATAAATATTAAAACTCTTTAAATAGTTAAATATTTCATCAGCAATAGCAGAAATTATTGTAATAGTTAATATTTTTATTAGATACCTGTATCTGTCAATTTTTATTTTCAAATATTATATACTAAATATTAATAAAATGTATTTTGTTTTCACATGTAACATCTATCATCTTTTTTAAAATCTGCTTGTTTTAAAGAAAGTTGTTCAAAACGTTTCTGGTTTAAAAAAAAAAAAAAAATTCAAAAAGTTCTGAAAATTAATTGTTCTAAGTATTTGGACATTTTGAATAAATATCTCATATTTAATAAAAACATGAAAGAAACTGGACAATCAGTAGTTCACTAGATTCCTTTTAGTTAAAATTATACTTCTGTTGCATGGTTAATCCTAGTATGCTGTACACATGGGATACTGCATACTAGGATTCAACTAATTGTACGCACTTGGATTCAACTAATTTTTTCCTGTAAGAATGCTTTGTTGTGTTCTATTTCTCCATAACAGTTACTTTTAGTAGAGCTCTCCAAGAAATCGATATTTCCTTATCCTTTTCTGCAACTCATTTCGGTAAAAATATGTTTACAGGTGCCCCTTGGCTATTTTTCAGGGTACATGGACTCAGAGTTCGTGAAATTCTCTGACTTATTGTTATTTTGGCTTTGTGTAGTGGTGATTTTTGTCACCGCTACACAAATCCAAAATTATTATTACTAAAACATAGCCTTATTGTAAAAATAGAAATATTTCGGCTGATCTTTGGAATATGGTAACTGGTAGTTAGGCGACATTTTGGAGGCGATAAAGGTTACTACCTAGGACTTTGGTAATAAGGTAGAAGTCTCAGTTTCCGATTACACAATTTTTTGTGTGAGGAGAGAGATCATGAGATATGTCTGTGACTTAATGGACGAATTACAGTTCTTTAATCGGAAAAAGGGGAATTTGGAAAACTGTAGTACTATATTATTTTGTATTAAGCTTCATTGTGTGTTGTGTGAAATAGTGGAAGTGTGCGTGCCTGTAATGAAGATTCTGAGATTAGGTAAGTTAGTATTTTTAATCATTGAATATTATTTTTATGCATTGTTCAAATGTAAGGGGTAAATAAATTAATATGGTATTATTGGAAAATTGTTATTAGCAATGATTTAGTTTAAAGTAATTAGGATGTAATCTAATTTTATTAATTTAATTGTATGTGCTTATTTATATTTTAAGTAGTGTTTTTAATTTAATTATATTTTAATTTAATGATCGTGATTTGTGAGTTATATGTTTGTAGTATTTTGGAATACTTTGATAGAATACTTTGAGTATTTTTCATGCATTTCGTGAAATTTTTCTAATTATGAGAAAAAAAGCAGTGTACATGGATATAGAAGAGTGTGTGCGCAATGCCATTTTTGTGCAATTCTGGGATTTTTTTTTAAGTAAAAATAAGTCGACTGTAAATGGTTTATGTGTATGTGCTATTCTGAAAAATGCACAAGGAGTTAGCGATTGTGCACTTTTTCCCAATTTTGCAGTTAATATTTGTCATGATTAAGCAGTTTTGTTACATAAAATTTCTAGCATAAGTGTAATTCGGCTAGTAGATTGTTGGAAAAAGTGTTGAGTAAATAAAAAGAAAAAATATATGTCTTTACGAAGTAAAGACAAAATGGCGGAGGAAAAAAAAAAAAAAAAAGTAGAGGGTTGCTGTAGCAGAGTTGGTCGCCAAATTTTTTCCAAAAAATCGCCAAGTTACCATAATCCAAAGATCAACCGATAATTTAGAGGTAAAAGTTTTTGGATATTTTATTTATTTTATACGTGGAAATGTTCATCCTTGGAAAGGGTATATTCTTTTTCGCGATCAGGTAATTTCATATATGTGCTTTTTACCGAGTTTAATTCAAAAAATTTCCTGCATTTTTCGTGCAAATTTTTTTAATTATGAGAAAATAGCAGTGTAGATGGATAAAGTTAAGTGTGTGCAACACCATTTTTGTGCAATTCTGGGATTTTTTTTTTAAGTAAAAATAAGTCAACGTGTAAATGGTTTATGTGTATGTGCTATTCTGAAAAACCGCGCAGCAAGTGTTTGCGATTGTGCACTTTTCCCAATTTTGCAGTTATATTTGTCATGATTAAGTAGTTTTATACATAAATTTCTAGCATAAGTGTATTCGGCTAGTGATTGTTGGAAAAAGTGTTCAGTAAATAAAAAGAAAAGAAACATGTCTTTACTTCGTGAAGACAAAATGGCGGCGAAAAAAAAATAGAGGGTTGCTGTAGCAGAGTTAGTTGCCAAAAAATCGCCAAGTTACCATAATCCAAAGATCAACCAATATTTCTTTCATTCATCCAAGATACAAAGCAATTCAGAAAACAAAAGACAAAACTTACTTACTTAACTGGGTAGTGTGAAGATGAATCAAAACCATTGCTGATGTATGGGAAATGAAAACTCAAAGAAGTTGATTCATCTTATTATATTATATCTGCACTACAACATAATACAATTATATTAAAATATATATATTATAACAATTTGCGGGACATTTTTCTTCTTCTTCAATGGCCAGACAGCCCAGGATAGGCCCTTGCCTTCCTCAGAATTGAATTCCAAGCTTTTCTATCCCTGGCCATGGACATCCAATTGGTTATTTTTAAAATCTTAAGTCTGTTTTTCCAAACAATCGAGCCACTAAGTTTAGGTCTTCCTCTTTTTCGGGGGTGCCGATGGTCTGGCCGAGAAGATCTCTTTAGTACTCGATTTCATCCATTCTGCATAGGTGCCCTGCCCATTAATTTCTGAATCCTTAAATATTTTATATCTATTCTTTAAAGGATTTATGAGTTCAGAATTATTCTTCAGATATTATTACATTTATGCCACCAAAAATACTCTCAAAAATTTTCTCTCAAACAGAAATGATACTTTTAGCTTTTTATGTCATTTGTAGGTCTGCCTTATTTAAGAAGGATCTGATTAAGCTTTTGTAAATTAAATCTTCATTTTCTGCTAAATGAAGTTGACTTCAAGTTTTTTTTAGACCGAAAAAGCATCGGTTAGCATCTGTGACTCTACTATGGATCTCAGGCATTAAATCATTGAGAGTATTAACTTCTGATCCTAAATATTTAAATTTGGTAACAGTTTCAAATTTGTAATTTCCAATTTCAAAATTGGGACTGCTGTTATTACCACATGGCATGCATTTAGTTTTATTTTGGTTGATTGCTAGACGCATTTTGCTGGCTGCAGCCTCTAGAGATGCAAAAGCCTCTCTAAGTGACTCAGGAGTGTGTGTGACTATGTCAATATCCTCAGCAAATGTAAAAATCTGAACAGCTTTGTTAAAGATAGTTCCACGAGTATTAATGTTGGAGTCTTTTATGATTTTTTGGAGGGCAAGGTTAAAAAGCAAGCAGGCCAGTGCATCACTCTGTCTGAGCCCACTTGAAACAACAATAAGCTCAAAAAGATTATTCTGGATTTTAACCCTAAGTTTTGTCTCAGTAAGAGTAATGGTGACCAAATTTATAAGTTCTTCAGGTATTGCAAATTCACTCATAGCTTCAATTAAATATTTTATATTTATTGAATCGTAGGCAGTCTTAAAATAAAAAAAAAAGGTGGTTTTTGCAAGCATATTCATAGTTTTTTTCCAAATTGCTATGTAAAGTTTCTGCTGTATCTTCCTTGCGAACCCATTGGTAACACTACAATTTTTCTGTATAAGTTACATACAAAAAAATATTTGTAAAAACACAAAGGATTCATTTACAAAAGGAGTACGGTCTCCAACTTTAATTCACAGTCCGTCTGTCCCATGCTTTTGTACTAACTGTCCAAGGTACTCCTTGCGGAAACGGCTACGAAATTGTTCTCGAAGTTCCTGGCAGAAACGCTGACGAGCCAAGAGTTTATATTCGATCTAAAGCATCCAAATCTGCTGTACCTGAAACCTTAATGTCCTGTAAGAACATGGAAGGCGTTAATGGTAGAAGATCTTCAGAGTCATTTGACACATAAGTAAGTGGTCAACAGTTTATTACGGCTTCCACATCACAGATGATGGTGAGTAACTCTTTGTAATTGACTGCAGCTTTCAATCAAATTCTTGGTTGTACGAATTGGACGCTTCCACCATTCGCCCCACCAAGCAGCAGTGGGCGTAATGAACTTCCAAGTGATGGGATGTAAAGTTTCCTGAACAGTTACCTTTACCTAGCTGACTTTTTTCAGCAATGATGTACCAATGAAATTTGTGCCGTTGTCTGAATAAACTATAGATGGCTGACCTCTTCTGGCTATAAACCGACGAAACGCTTGAATTATTTTTGAGAATCAGAGGGCCACATAAATCTATGCCGGTAACTTCAAATGCGAAAGTATCTCATACTCTGTGTAAAGGTAATTGAATGGGTGCAGTAGCTAGAGGTTTAGCTGAAAATCGTTTATAACAGATGTACTGTTTCACCACTGATCTAATTCGGCGTCTTGCACCAATGATTCAGAATTCTTCTCTAATTATAACAGCTAATGCTTGTATGCCGGCATGAGAATGCTTTAAATGGTAATCTCTAATTAAACAGTCAACAATATAATGCTTAGAAGGTAATAAAATCGGGTACCGGAATGCATAAGAATCATCTCGTTCGGTGATTTTCGTTTTTACTCTTCTTAAGCCACTCTGATCTCGTACGGTCAAAAGACCATTGATGGAGTCTCCAGTCTCTGGAAAACTCTCCCCCTGAACAAGTGAAAGAAGTATAATTTTAGATTCCTGTATCTCGGAAGCAGACAG